AAATTTCATATCATATTTGGCAACATTCCAAAGACCACAATCATTTGGCAAGTAAGACTGCCACCAATTTTAGTCTTCAAGCTGGTCTCAGTATGAGATCTTCATGCAAACTAGTCAATACATGAAGGTTTCATAATCTTTCATACCAAACTCTAAATAATTTTTGTGAATTAACTTTTTAAAATTGGATGGCAGAACCCTACCAACTGTCACAACTGTGAATGATACAGGCATCCTGTTTCTTCTCAATTATCTTCTGACCACTTCTGCTCATTAGTACTTCTGAGTGGCAGGAAAAAATGATGCAGAAAAAAAAGAATCAGTTTTGCTATTTATCATCAACTTTTATTTTTAAGAAAATGTTTAGAGCTTTAAAATAGATTTCTGAATTATTTGATAATTCAAATTATCCATGCTCTGTTGTAAAGCTAAAATAAGAATTAGTTTTACCAAGTTTTGGGCCCTATATTTGTTATTGGGTAGTGGGGGGGGAGGACGACCAACTAATTCTGAAAACAATTAATTCTGAGAACAACAATGGAGATTCTCTTGGGACCTTCAAAGCGTCATTCACTCTTAGTAACACTCATTCATTATCTTAGCAGGAATCATCAGGGGGAGAATGAATTCTAAACATCTAAATAATCACGTATACTTAAAGGCACATGGCACATACTGGCCTAGGAAAAAAATTGAAGAAAACTATAAGGCAAAAATCAGAGTATTTGAATGGATGTGTACCAAGCAGCATGTAAACGTACTAGGAAGATGGTCACTGATACAGCTAAAGAGAAAGGGCCATTAAGCAAACTGTGACCAGTTTATTGCCAATAAGAACATGAAAGTATTTTTAAAAAATAAAATCTTTTTTTTTTTTTTAGACTACATATGACTAGCTGGTATCTTGGTTTTGGTAGTGCAATAGCACCATTACAGCAAGGGTAAGCAGGTCAAGCCCTTGCAAAACTTACCTTGATTGGCCCAATGGAAACAGAAGGCCCCAGAAAAGAGAGAAGCATCTGGCAGTAGCAAATTGTTTTATTTTATCTTTCTGTGGAAAGAAACTAATTTTAAATAAGAACCAGAGCATTTAAAGAATAAATATTTTTAAAGCTCATTATCTAGTTAGAGCAGCTCTACCAAGAAAACAAGAAGAGCTCCTTGCTGCTTAGAGATGAAAAGAAACAGAAGAGGAATCAGAATTGTTTCTCCATCACCTAGGAAGTTTTAAAATTTGTGTTATTCTAGAGCAACAGAATAAAAGACTTTTATTTAAAGAACCCCTGCAGGTAGAATCTTTTGGGGCTGGTGCCTTTGAATAAAGAGTTTTATACAAAATTAAGGGCAACATTCCAAATAAAAAAAAGAAGGAAATCACTTGACATTAAGCCCTTCTACTCTTAAGGTTAAATAAAAAAGAGAGATACATAGCAAGCTCCTTTTTCCACTGCAATTTTACCAATAACTTTAAACATCAAAGCTTAAACAATTATTAAAGTAAACAGTACTAGTTAGCAAAAGATCACATAAAATTCGCTTTCCAAAATAAGTTAGCCTACATTTTTGATGACTTATCGAGATATTCAAATTGAAATAACCCAGCCAACTAAGGATCTGTTTATCATGAAACTTAACATCCAACACGAAATTTATGGTAGTGAACCTGTTACCTTTCTCGGATGCTTCTCTAGAAACTCAGTTTGACTGAAACCACTGAATCAGCATTAAAACCTTTTGATTCAAATCACTCCCACAAAATGTCCATTTACAATTTATGCTACAGATGGAAGGGACAGCTCATAAGCAGGAGTGCAGAAGTAATACTCATTAAAAAAAAATAATGACATGGAAAATGAACTACCTATTTGGCACTGTTCTACGAAGAGTCAGAATTATAGAGCAGCAACTGCCTACCCCCAACCGTCCACCCCACACACAGAGGAAGATATTTCAGGAATAAAATTCACTGAGCAAAAGGCCTAAGCAACTGCTATATTTAGATTCTATGCATTTACATGGTGCACTAAAATAAGTTATATTGCCACATCAGATAATATTACTCTTAGAACATTAGCTTCAACTGGCATTGAATTAAATAGTCATTAAATTAAGTAGCTTAGATGTACACTGATTTTAAATAATTTTAAAATGTTTAGTTTTGTTGAGGTAGTCAGCAAGTTTTTAAAACAGAGGACTTTTTTATTACATTCAAATTTTGGTTACAGTCATGATTCAACATTTGGCTTATTTGAAATGATTTGGGCATAAATAAATCCTTAAACAGCTACAAGTACCGACCTAGGTTTTGAAATCCCGACAAACCTTGAAGCAGAAACAAAGAAATAAATGCAAAATAAAACAAAAACATTCTTACTTGTCCCATTGGTGGCCCTCCCATAGGGGGCATCATTTGCGGCATCATTCCATGAGGTACAGGAGGCATATTCGCTCTCTGACCCATAGGGTGCATTCCCATTGGGGCATAATGCATGCCAGGGTGCCCCATCTGAAAAACAGTGAAAATTTTAAAATGAGCAAGTAACACTAAATGCTTCTTAAAAGACTCAAAAAGTAAGTTACCTGGAGTGGCATGTTAGGCTAATGTTCGATTATATTACTGGGTTAGTTTACACCTTCTTGTTTTAAACAAAATGCACTATACTAGTATTTAAAACGAGCTTGCAAATTCTGTAACATAATGGAAAAAGTTAAGGCCATTACTGGACAGCTGGATAATAGTTTTTCTTTTAAGCATTGATTTAATTGCCTTGCTAGTTTGAAGGATATGTAATGAATGTTAATTTTAAAACTTATGGTGAAAACGATTCTATCTTATGTCACACAGATATAAAACATAGCCAGCTATTGTTATTTTATAACGCTTCTTATTTTCCAAGCTAATCCAGACAAGGGCTGGTCTTACAAAACACAAACACAATGGGTACCCAGGGACATTTCACTCTTAAGTTAGTATCTCCTAATATAACCTTTAAGACAGATAAAATTCCTTCTGTCAAAAAGATATTTTCAAAGACTGAGGTTCTGACACTCACGGACGCTAAATGCCAAACAACTAATTCATCCATTTTAACGCACTTTTAAGAGACAACTACTTTCTTTACCTATGTGTCCATTGTTCCGGGTTTTGAAACCAGGCAATTATCTTCTGCCAATTCTCCCAACAGTCGCCCCATCAGAACACCACTGATACTAATGAAAACAAAATTCTGGCTGCCACTTTTAAAGTCTTAAAGAATCAAGTCTCGGCTGCTCCCTCCCTGCTAAATCGGGCCTATGGCTCCAAGAAGCTCACCCCGCCCAGGAACCAGCACCTTCACCGCGCATCCGTCTAGGCCAAGCCCACTGGGAACTTCCAAAATCCCACAGCCTTCTCTTTGTGCATTTCTACCCTCCGTTTCTCCCCTCGGAACATATTCCACCATCTCGAGTTCTTCCTTCGTACACTCTCATCTTCTTCTCCTTTTGGAGAAAGCTTCCTGTCTCTCTGACTCCGTTTTTCATTGTGCCGCTTTCCCCCTGCCCCACTGATCCCTTACCGAGGGCCGTCTCCTCAGGAAGCCGTCAGCAGAGACCCAAGAGCCGGAGCAGAGGCTTGAGCCGGACAATCTCCGCTCCCCGTCCCCAGGACCCCGCGAGGGAGGTTGGCTCTCCATTTCACTCACCATGAGGCCTCCACGCTCAGCTCCCGTCCCCGGCCTCATCGTCGGGCTCAGACTGCTCCGCCGGCGGCCACTGCCGCTGCACATACCAACAAGAAGCGATCTGAGTGGCTGGCGCCCGCTGGGGCTAAAGGTTAAAGGCTGCCCTGCGCTACGGGGCGGGATCAGCGAGGCCAACAGGCTGACAGGCTTCCCCACTGTCCAATCAGAGTGCGCCGTCGACACGCAGCTCTGCGGCGATTCGCCTCCAGCCTCAGCCTCACTCGGCGTCGCCTGCATGGGGGGGGAGGGGGACGGAGGAAGTTTCTGCGCCCAGTCCTCTGTCTGAAAAACTCCACAAACTTCCCCAGGGGAAGGGGAGATAACCGTGTCCCGACTTCCCGAACTTAGACCGCCTCACCCTCTAGCGGGATGGAGCAGTGGGGGGGGGGCTTGCCATCTTCACCCTCCCCGCCCGAGTTGCATACGCCCCACAAACCTGAGGCCGTCGGGGGTAAGGTGGGGTGGGGGTGGGGACAGCAACTTCTAGCGTTAGCGGTGGCTAGGACCGGATGTGCGCGCGCGGGGCTCGAGTCAGGAGAGGCGGAACTGGG